TCCCAAGTCCCAGCTTCAACACTTTAGTGGCCATGTGACCTCCATTTGGAATTTAAAGCCCTTCCTGATCTGGTTCCTCTTACCTTTCCAGGCTGATTACACATTAGTCCCTCTCACATGCTCCAGGTTCCAGTCAGATTGGGCTACTACACCATTCTCCCTCCCAACATTCCATCTCTCTAGGGGAGGGGGATAGACAGAGTCTTTGAATATTCTCCCTCATCATCTTCAAGCTCAGCTCAAGGGCCTGCAGAATGCTCCTCCTAATTCCTCCACCCTTCCCATCATTGTGCATTTGTTTTGTCTATATCTTCTATTTACTCATCTATGAACATGTTTCTCCACCCCCCCCCCAGTGAATGTAAGTTCCTTAAGGTCTAGAACTGACTTCTATATTTGTGTTCCTTGAATCTAGCACCATGTCTGGTACACAGTAAGTACTTGTTGATGGATTGATTGGTCACTTCTTGTCTCAACTTGTTTCATCTGTAAAATAGGGAAGTTGGACTACACGAAGTCTAAGGCCCCTTTCAGTTATAAGATTCTATTTCTGCTCCTGGAAGTCATTCCCATTGAGGGAGCAGGGTTTGTGTTTGTCCTTTGTTCTTGAAGAGGACCATGATGACATCAGGGAGATGATGACAATGAAGAGGTTTACCTACAATTCCCAGAAAAACCTTAAAACTTTTAGATTCCTTGTAGACTCACTCATCTCTCTTTGACAAAAAGAACCTGGCTTCAGTTTTGTTTACCAGTCCCAGGAAACCCTTAAAGTTTTAGAAACTGCCTTATTTCCCTTTGAAAGCAAACTTCCCCTTCCAGCTCCCTTCATTATCTATTCTCATTGTCTGTTCAAATCACTCAGACATTCCAAATGGAAATTCTCACCTGGACCCTTTTCCAAATGGTCCACCTCCCCCATCAACTGGCTTTCCCATTGTTTAGCCTTCCTGGCCATTCCCACCCTTAATCCTAGCTAGGTGCCAGTGTTCCTTTCACCCCAGCTTGCTGGCCACCCCCATCCAGATCTCCCTAGACCCCTCCTCCCATCACTCCAAGCTGCTTGGCCCCTCCCCAATCAATCTGTACTAAAGGCTCACCTTTCCCCCATTTTGATGCTGAGCTGTTCTCAAGCTTAGAAGCTGAGACCCCTCATGCCCCCCTGATGGGCTTCACCTGGCCTGACCACCCTAGCCCCAGCCCCCACTCAGACTCTTGCGTTTTCTAGACTGCCTCACACTGCTCTTTCTTGTGAGCGTCACCTGTATACATTGAACCCTATTTAGATCACTGATGTTTGGGGTTCCTTTGGAGTCTGGCCTATATGCTTATCTTTAATAAACTTTCTCTGGCTGGAAGAAGATCTGAGTTGAATTCATTCAGACAGATCCGTGCCGTGATTTGGGCTTTTTCCCACGATCTTGGGATGCCTCTGTGCATCTAAAAGCACCCCAAACACCCCTCTCCAACATGACTTGCAATTGATTTTATTTTTGGTGAGGGAGGGCTGTGCAAGGTCACCAGCCTCACTTTCTCCTCCAGAGTCATCTGGGTCCAGCAGCCAGATATTTATCAGGATGACTAGAGATAGCTCAGGATGCAATGGGAGACCCTGGCCCTTTTAAGCTAAGGTCTTTTCAGGTTGTCACTTTGAGTGAGGCAACACTCATTCAGTGAATAGGCCTCTTTAAGAAGTGAGTCAAGGGATGGCCCCTTTAATCAAAAAGGGAGTAGGGCTAGGAAGCTAGGGTTGGAGACTTTCATGTCTAAGGGAAGGATGCTGGTGAGCCTCCAGGGCCAGGGTGAGGAAGCACTGGGGAGACAGATTCAATGATCTCAGAAGGCCATCTCAGCCCAATCCACAGTTAACCAAGAATCCTCTTCTATTAATATCCCCAATAAGTGGTTATCTAGGCTTTAAGTCCTCTGGTGAGAATTTTTTTTTTTTTTTTAGGCAATTGGGGTTAAGTGACTTGCCCAGGATCACACAGCTAGTAAGTGTCGAGTGTTTAGTCTGAGACCACATTTGAACTCAGGTCCTCCTGACTCCAGGGCTGGTGTTATATTTACCACGCCACCTAGCTGCCCCGAGAATTTTTTTTTGACAGGACTTGGTGTAGCCAATAGAGTGCCAGTCCTGGAGTCAGAAAGACATCTTCCTGAGTTGAAATCAGGCCTCAGACATTTACTGCTATGTAACCCTGAGCAAATCACTTAACCCTGTCTGCCTCAGTTTCCTCATCTGTAAAAAGAGCTGGAGAAGGAACCAGCAAACCACTCCAGTATTTTTGCCAAGAAAACTCCAAATGGGATCACAAAGAGCTGGACATGATTGAAAAATGACAGAATTGAAATTATTTCATTGGTATAGGGAACTTCTGATAAGGACTTCCTTTCACCACAATGGTCAAGCATTTTCTCTGCAAACTATAGTCTTAGAGAATTGCCTGGGGCACCAAGAGGTTAAGGGACTTTGCCCAGGGTCACAAAAGCAGAAGACCCAGGTCTTCCAGGCCAGCTCAATTTTCACTACACTTTGATGCTTCTAATAAAAATAATAGCATTTACTTAGCACTTATAATAGCACTTTCTTCACAACTTTCCTTACAACAACCCCATGAAGTAGGGCAATTATCATTAAACCCATTTTACAGATCAGGAAATTGGAGCTCAAATAATACTACCACTACTAATCATAATAGGTAACATTTACATAGTGCTTATTATGTGCCAGGCATTGTGCTAAGCACTTTACAATTATCTTGTTTGATCCTCATAACAATCCTGGGAGGGAGGTGCTATCATTGTCCCCATTTTAGAGATGAGGTAAACAGAGGTTAAGTGATTTGTCAGGGTCACACAGCAATAAGTTTCAGAGGCCAAATTTGAATTCAGGTCTTCCTGACTCCAGGCCCAGCGTTTTCCACTGAACTACTTAGAGACAGAGAGATTTGCCCAAGATCATACAACTAAGTGTCAAAGCCAGAACAAATCAAGATCTCTCTCTCTCTCTCTCTCTCTCTCTCTCTCTCTCTCTCTCTCTCT